TAGCAGCCCATGCACGCATGGTCACGAATTGTCACGCACTGGCACGCACGCATCTACGACCCATGACGCGGCGAGCGAGGCTGGGCTGCGGCGTGGCCGACGGCGGGAGAGTTTGGCGCGGCCGGGCATGCCATGGCGGGCTCGCGGCGTCGGGCGGTGTGGAGTCACATGTCACGCTTTGCTGGTTGGACGAAGAAGCCAGAAAATACTCGTACTCATACCCATGCTCACACTTACTCATGTCTATGGAGTCACATGTCAGGTCTTGCTGGTCGGACGAAGAAGCCAGAAAATACTCGTACACATACCCATGCTCACACTTACACACGGCATACTGATAGCGAGCGGCATGCATGGCGAGCGGCATGCGATAGCTAGCGGCATGCGATCTGCGATAGAAAGCGGCATGCAATAGCGAGCAGCATGCGATAGTGAGCGGCATAATGACCGTGCGATCGTGAGCGTCATACAATAGCAAGCGGCATGCGATAGCCAGCGGCATAAAAAAACATACATCAAGTCCTGGCGAGTGAAGAACCTCGCCTGCTTTCTTGTGACACGTGACAGGCTGCCAGGGAGTATTCATAGATAGACGGACAAGCTGCAAGGGAAACGCGGCTTCCCAGCCAGCCTGCCTGCCGTTCTGCTCACGTATTTTCGCGAGGTCTTTAACCACCTTCGGTTTCAATCAACTTTTGTCCTGTGATCCGTGCGTCTTCTCGGCTAAATTCACAGTTCGAGTATTCATACCTCGAGGTATGCTTTTTGGAGTCTCGCATTTTCCTTTTACTAGGACCCTCGACAGCGTGCCGAACCCGTGAGGGCGACTCCCGTGTGACAAGAACGGCTCCCGTATCCTGGCTCGTGAACAGATGGACGCTCGCTGCGGAACCCTTCCGTCTGATCTCACTGTCGTACCAGTGAGAACCACAGAAGGTCGACTTTTTGACATGGCTGTAAGGACTCACCACAACGATCCAATGAGCCGCAACATCCGTCACAGAGGCTTCTGGGAGATTCAGGCACCACAAGAACTTGCAGACTTGGCAAATGCAACGCTGCCATCCATCCTTACAAAGCCTCGTTACTTACTTGATGTTGGTGCAAACATCGGGTTCTACTCCCTACTTTTCGCGCATGCGGGCTGGCGTACCGTTGCGATCGAGCCAATGCCAAGGAACCTACTTGCTCTCAACGTGTCCCTGTGCTTAAACCCAACCCTTGCACAGCGGGTGAGAGTCGTCCCTGTTGCACTATCCACGCCTGATAACGAAGGCAGAATTTGCACGGTGACTGCCAATAACAAATTCCATGGCAATGGTGGAATTGGTAATGGTGTCTTGAAGTGTGACAGGGCGCCAAGACTGCCTTGTACCTCGGATCAAAATGAGGCTTGTGAGAGGACGCATACGCGCACGCTTGACTCGGTGCTGCGTGCGTTGAATTTGCCTTCGGTGGATGTCGTCAAGATTGATATTGAAGGCCATGAATGTGCTGCGATTGCATCTAATGGGAGTAAGACATTGTTCTCCCGCTGGCAACCGAGGTTGATACAATGGGAAGGCAAGAGGCACGATGTGGACAGCTGCATGCGTCAGCTCATGCACAAACACCATTATCGTATAGGGACCCGATATGGAAACGACAGGAATACGGTTGGCGCATTGATTCAGTAAAGAACTTGCGCAGCTCTTCGTCATGCGATCTGATCACCGGCCTGTACGAAAGACATCACTGATCTCACAAGCATTGCATGGAGTTGCATAAGACAATCGATTAGTCATTGTGAAAGTGGAGTAACTGCATCCGCAATGGATTGTTTGCAAAGCTACGCGACGCCTGTCAGTTCGAGAGTTCTGTGTTCCCGTCCCTGTGCTCCACCTTCTTCGCCCGCGTCAGTCCCATGAGAACCCCACTATATAGCGCCGCCTCGTGAGCTGTCCTGTGTGCTATGTGCTGTGTGTCCAGCAGTCCGGACCCGGTGCTAAGGCCGGTGACAGTGCGCCTCGTGTCGGCTCCCGAGCCAATCGTGTGCAGCGTGTGTGCACTTGCCTACACAATGTTGAGACTCAAGCGCTCTGGCATATAAACGTCCTGTCATCATTAATTGGGGTGGAACACGTTTGGGGAATGTCCAAAGGGCGAATACCTTCGGAAGTTTCCGAAAAGCAAGCACGTATCCCAGAATGCAGAAAGAAACGCTAATTTGGATGGGCGAAAAATGTCGGCAAGGAAAAGTGAGCACTTTTGATATTTGAAGCTGTGCACACGATGCTACATACAGTATTGCTTACACACACTTCTCTCCGGTTTTCATGGTCTGCGTGTGCTTGGGTACAATCACACCTTTTCGCAAAAACTACGCCGCCTGCCCAGGATAAATTGTAGAACCACTAGAAGCCAAAACCACAGGCCAAAATGACTAGTATATACTCCGGAACTTCAACTCCGCACGCGCACCGGCCAGGGCTACAATAGTGCCAGTGAGGCGGAGGCGCGAGTCGGAAGGCCGCGACCGTCAAGTGTTCCGCCGTCATTTTCCTACAAAGAGTACAATCGCTGTGAACCCAGCCCCACGTAGAGTATATATTCCGCCGCGAGTTTATCAGTTGTTTTTATTGATTTGTCTCTCACGACACGGTGTCTCCTCAGAGAGTACACGAGCTACGTGCCATCACCAACTTGCTCCTCGCAGCGCCCCCGCCAAAACTCTTTGCCGTAGTCAAAGAGCAGCTCCTCGCCCGGCCGCACGGGCCGCAGCGTGTAGAAGCTCACGCGGCGCGCGGGCGACCTGCGCACCCGCTCCACATGGTAATAGCAGTTTGGCGAGGACGAGTGGTTGACGTACCGCAGCAGCGAGGAAGAGCCCGCCTCCGCGGCGTCGATGTTCCAGTCGGCGCTGGCGGCGAGCACGTACCGCGCATCCTCATCAGGGTACCGCGCCAGGTACTCCTCTTGCGTCAGCACCTGCGAGGCACCCTGAGGCACCGTGAGGCTGCGTGCGGTGTGTGCGTGGCGCCTGATGGCATTGGCGTGGAGGGAGTGTGCTGAGTGACGAGGCGAGTCCGCACCTCGCCCGTGTAGTCGCCGAGGTACGCGCCGTCGGGCAGCGGCGCGGCAGCGAAGAGGCCATGCCCGCGGGTGGGACAGCCGGTGTCTCGCACCTCAACCAGCCCGAGCGAGAGCGCGCTAGGCGTGGCGGCGGCGGCGGTGTCAGCGCTGGGCGCAGCACTCTGAAGTGGGAGGCGCCGCTGCTGCGACCGCGACGGCATTCGGCCCACGAACGGCTTCTCCAAGGTGCCCACGTCCAGCCGCGGCAAGACAGTGGCGTGCAGTAAATTCTTCCGTGCGCGTCGCGCGGGGGATGGGGGGCTCTGAGGGGAAGGGAGCGGAGGGCGCCCAGTAGGGCGTCGTGTAGCCTAGGAAGCAAATTCTTTTTTCGGAAACGGTTAAGTGAGTGAGCAGCCTCGCTCTCAATCCTAGAAGTCGCTAGAAAGAAGTCGAAGGATTGTGAGCATCACTCCTCGCAATCGTAGCATCTCTGTGCGATTGTGAGCACCTACGGTGACGCCTACGACTAATCCTACATCTTCTAGGACTATGTCTACGACTACGTGAGCAGCTCCGCTCACAATCGATGTGATTGGGGTGACGTTTTGGGTAGTACTAGTAGTCTCGTAGGTGCGTCACCAGTCCCATTGATCATTGACATTGTGAGCGGAGAGCTGCTCATAGACATAGTCCTAGTCTCCTAGATCTAGAAGATGATAGATGTAGGAAGGGATCCGATGAAATGCACTATATGCACCGCAACGAAGGTCGAACCTTCTCACGTGTGTGTGTAAAGCCGGTGCATTGTACGTAACTTTTAGCTTACTGGGGGAGAAAAGGGAGAGGTTGTGTTTTCTCAGCCTAGGCCCCTAAGGGCCCTACGCGCGCGGCGTGAGAGCTTGGGCGGCGGATCGGGTTGCTTCCCCCAGGATTAGTCTTCTCTGCTTGCGGGAACACCCGGCTGCGACTGGAGAGCTAGCATGGCTCGATAGAGCCGAGACCCCGTGTTGAGGCGGCGCTCCTTTGGGCGGCTGTTGAATCAGCAGATTCGACCTCATCTCTCCAGTACTCTCATATCCCAGTGGATGGACGTCCGTACGGCTTTACCGTACGTCCCTTTGTGTTCCTCTCCCCGTCCGCCAGCGAGACGCTCAGTCGCTGGCGGCCGCAGTTTTTCTGTGGAGGGGCTTCTCCTGCGGAGTCGTGCGTGCGCAGGGCTCCTCTTTGGACTTTGCTTTCTTCTCTACTCCCTACTATCATCTCGTTCCCGTCCTACCAGAGTGCAGAGAGAAAGGTCAAAGCGGAGACGGGAGATGGCGCGGTTCACCCCCTTCCACCGAAGCGATGGTGTGGATGGGACGGAGAGCCGTCTAGGTCTATACGTGGCTGGGTTCACAGCGATTGTAGGAAAACGAAGGGAACACTTGACGGTCGCGGCCTTCCGACTCGCGCCTCCGCCTCACTGGCACTATTGTAGCCCTGGCCGGTGCGCGTGCAGAGTTGAAGTTCCGGAGTAAAAATTCGAACGCGTTCTCTCACGGTGACCAAGAAATGTCCACCTCAGAGGCACCTCCGGAGGCAGGCCGCCGCACGCCGGCGACACAGCTCCAGCTGTCGAACTGACCCTCAGCTCCTCTCAGAGCGGGAACTGTGACGAAAGTTGACTGAGGCGGTTGTCAGGAACCATCATACGGATCACATGGTGGCTCTCTCATGACGGGAGACCGCCCGACCACTCCTGGGTGGCACTGCCACCGGTGTCGCTCGACGTCCTGTCGACAGCGTGCCGACAGCGACACAACCATGTGGGACGCGTCGAGTATCGACCTCTACTGCTTACCCAGCCTTCGAGTGTATCCTGGCTGTGGTCCCACACCCACTGGTGTCCATCTCAGAGACCGCAGGAGGTCATGAGGGTCGATGGGAGTGCCAACCCCACAATGCCTAAAAACCCAGCCCAGTACAAAAATAGAGAAGGTTCACCCCCACAAAGCACAATGCGTGGAACATCACACAGAAATGTGCGCTGTTTTATCGTCACGGGCCGTCACACGTCGGCGCGCGCGCACGCACAACCACAGATGTCACGCGCCATCGCCCCCCTCCGGCTCCCCTCCGCAAACCGCCCAATTGAAACCGCCTCAGCACACGCATTGCGGTGCCGCCCGGCAATCACACATAGATTCAGCCCCTCCTTTCTTCCGGCAGAGTCTGGACCATCAGGGGAGCCTCTCGAGCGTCTCGAGCGCCTGCGCCACGCGCTTGTGTGCGGCGGCGCCCAAGGCCTGGCACTCGCTCACGTCGAGCTTCTGGTTCTGCTTGTAGACCTCCTCGAACGAAAAGGCGTTCTCGGGCAGCGTGACCTTCCACGCCTTTCCGCCGTCCGTCTCGATGCTCGATGAGACCACAATCTGGGGGGGGGGGGGGACTGGAGCACACCACGCCCCTACTTCGATCTCGGCTCCATCTGGACTAGACTCCGACCTCCTGCCGGCTCTTTCACTCTTGTAGGGGCAGGAGGAGGCGCTGCAGGGGAGGAGGCGCTGCAGGGGAGGAGAGGCTGCAGGGGTGGAGAGGCTGCCTGCTTGCCGCCGGGCTGGAAGACGTCGGCGCGCACGGCGTCGGCGGAGAGCGGCTCCGACCCCTCGTGCACGACGTTGTAGAGGACGCCTCGCTTGCCACGCACAGGGCCGGCGCTGGTCACGCTCATCAGGATGGCGGCCTCCACCTCCACCTCGGGCGCCGTCACGTTGACAAGCACGCAGCCGGCCCTAACGCAGGTACGGGCGATGAGGGTGCGGGCGAGGAGGGTGCGGGCGCAGGCGCACTCTCGCGCCCGATCGTGCCCGAGCCGATCCGGCAGTTGAGTACCACCGCCGAGGGGTGCACGGTCAGGCCGGCGCCGAGCTGGTTGCGCTGCTGCCGTCCAGACGCGTCCGACTCGGGCGCGCCTTGCGGCTGCAGCTTGAGGAAGGTGCGGAGCGCGTGCGGCGAGGGGCCCTCCTCGGCCGCGTGCAGGTTGTTTGTCTGGTAGAGCTCGAGGCGTCCATAGTCCCACCAGAGCGCCTTTGCGCCCACATCGACGCAGCCGAGGATCCCCCCGCCACCCGGCGCAAACTTGGCGGCGAAAGCGGCCATCCGCGCGTAGTGCGCCGCCGCCTCGCCGGCCGGCGTCCCCTTCTTGCCCATCACCGCGAGGTAGTCCTCCTTTTGGAGGGTGAGCGGCATCCAAAAGTGCGGGTCCGAGTCGAGGCAGGCGCACTTGGCGGCGAGCTCGGGCGCAAACTCGGCCTGATAGTGGGGACGGGGGCTGATAGTGTGGTTAGTGTGGCTGGGCGCTTGCGGCACTGCCTCGGGACCGGGGGGGGGTGAGCTCGGAGGCGGCGGGCTCGGTGGTGGTGGAGAAGGTGGAGGAGACGGAGGTGGTGGCGGAAAGGGTGGAGGGAGGGGGGGCGGCGATCCATCGGCGGCGAGCAGCGCGGCGGAGAGGGAGAAGGGCCATGTCTCTCGCCTCTCTCTCCTCTCGGCCATGTGTCCCGGCTGTCTCTCGGCTGTCTCTCGGCTGTCTCTCGGCTGTCTCTCCTCTCGGCCATGTGTCCCGGCTGTCTCTCGGCTGTCTCTCGGCTGTCTCTCGGCTGTCTCTCGGCTGTCTCTCGGCTGTCTCTCGGCTGCATCCATGTCTCCCGGCTGTCTCTCGGCTGTCTCTCGGCTGTCTCTCGGCTGTCTCTCGGCTGTCTCTCGGCTGTCTCTCATCTCGGCCATGTGTCCCGGCTGTCTCTCGGCTGTCTCTCGGCTGTCTCTCGGCTGTCTCTCGGCTGTCTCTTGGCTGTCTCTCGGCTGTCTCTCGGCTGCATCCATGTCTCTCGGCTGTGCGAGTGCCATCAGGGCGGCGAGCAGCGCTGCGGAGAGGGAGAAGGAGCCGAGCGATGTTCCGACACGCTCGACGTCCGGCGGCAAGTACGCCTTCGCCGTGTCGTAGTCCACCTGTCGCGGCGGACGGGGCGGCGGCGTTCGGGCCAGCGGACCGGGGACCGCTACGCCACATGCCGCTCTTTGCGCCCAAGCAGCTGTGAGGGGGTCTGGGAGGTGCTGCCGCGTCCGTTTGGCAGGTGGAGGACATGTGGACATGTCGGTCCAGCGGGGAGGGCGAGAAGCGAACGGGGCGTGAGGTGCGCTCAACGGACGGAGCGTACGTGTAGCCGTGCGAGTCGCTGGCGAGTGCGGGATCTGCAACGGTCTCGGAAGTGTCCCGGAAGTGTCCCGGATGTGTCCCGGAAGTGTCCCGGAAGTGTCCCGGATGTGTCTCGGAAGTGTCTCGGAAGCGTCTCGGGAGCGTCTCGGGCGGCAGCGCCTTTTCGAGCTGAGTCGCGTCGCCGGCCGTGCCAACGGCGATGAGGCCGTACTGGTGCAGCTGCCCCGCCTCCCACTCGGCCTTGCTTGGCATGGGCCGCAGCGCCGCCAGGATATCCGCCGGGTGCGTCGACGGCTGTATCCCCGCCGACGGCACAAAGACTTGGTCGCCCCAAAAGACCGAGATGCGGCCGCCGCGCAACGGCGCGTACGACGACGTCTGGCGCATCACCGCCTCGAGGACAGTGAGGGGCTGCGCGGCGCCGCCCACCTCGAGGAGCGAGGGTAGCTTCACGCCCGGCTTGTTGTTGTTCTCCGCGCCCGGCAGCGGCGCGAGCCGCGTGCCCTTGCCAGCGGTGTGGAAAAGCGCAACCGAGGCGCCGCCTGAGAGCTTGGCGTCGAGGTCAAATCCGTCGCGGCTCGCCTTGTCGCGCGCCTTCTGGTAGGCGTACAGCGTGCCCAGCCCGTTGCCTGCGCCGCCGTTCCAGTCCTCGTGCACCGCGACCACCTTTGCATTTGTGCCCGTCACCTGCACGACGGTCTGCTCGAGCCGCGCCTGCCAGTAGTTCTCGGCGGCCTGGTTCGAGCAGCAGACGATGATCACGTCGAAGCCGCACGGCGAGAGCATGCGGGCAACCTCCTCGAGCTCCATGGCCTGGGAGGCGGAGGCATTGGAGCCCATATGCAAATACGTACACACAGAACTCCCTTTCGCGTGCCAAAGTTATCTCGAAAAAATAATGGAGCACCAGAACAGCCTGAAGAGTGGCTCGTCGCGCTTGCGCACGTTGAAGCCATCCGCGGCAACAGGGCGGCGGCGGGGATAGAGCTCGAGGACGACACTCCGCGCAGTGGCTTGTGGAAGCGGCGATGAATGAAGATAACGCTGGTGGAGCGGACGGAGGAGGAGTCGCGGCCCGCCTTCTCGGACTGCCGGCTGGCTGGTGTTGCGGGGGGGTAAAGTGGACGATGCTCGAGATCTGAAAACACACGTTGCCCCTTGTGACCGGGTCGTATCTCTGGCTGGAAAAAATAACGCACGGGCCTCAGCGGAGCTGGGAAGAGGACCGCCGCAAGCGGCGTGGCGTGGAGCCGTTGTGCATCCCTCCGGGGGGCCCTCTGCGCCGGGGAGGCGTTGTTGGAGGCTAGGACGCAAGCGTCCGTCGCCCTTTTCAAACTCGGGGCCCACTCAGCTGGTTACTTCCCCCAGGATTGGTCTTCTCTGCCTGCGGGAACACCCTCGGGCGGCCGGGTGGGGCTGCGGCTGGAGCTAGCATGGCTCGATAGAGCCGAGACCCTGTGTTGAGGCGGCGCTCCTGTGGGCGGCTGTGGAATCGGCAGATTCGACCTCAGGTCTCCAGTACTCTCATCCCAGTGGATGGACGTCCGGACGTCCCTTTGTGTTCCTCTTCCCGTCCGCCAGCGAGACGCCCAGTCGCTGGCGGCCGGCGGCCGGCGTAGCGAGCATGTGTGTACAGCAGCAAGAGACCGTCCCGTTCCGATCGGCGGGCGCTTGCTTGCGTGCCGGTATGAAATAAAATCCTCTTGGTCTGTTTTATGGAGATCAGGATTTACTGTAGGTTCGTTCATCAGGAGGGGTTTTCAGAGAGGCTCCACCGGCCGCTCCCTCCTACGGGGGAAAGAACACTTGACGGACGGACGTACCTACCTTCATTTCGGTGCGCATTGAAGAACAGCCAAAGCCGAAAGAAGAACCTGGTGAGGGAGAGCATGGCTACCTGGGGAGTTGGAGACAGAGTGTGAGGCCTTTGGAGTAAAGCCTGCGGGCTGGTCTGGTCGCACTGCAAATGAAGAGCTGAGCTTGCAGAAATAAAAATTCTTTCTCAAAACTGGCACGACAAGGGCGCGGACTGGCGCGGACTGGCGCGGACTGGCACACCGACTGGTGACGCCTACGACTACTACTCGAGTACCAGCGCGCTCGCAATCCGAGCAAAGTCTAGGTCTGTTGCGAGCTTGCGAGCAGCACGGCTCACAATCCTAGCAACATGCCTCCGATTGCGAGCGCTAATCCTACATCTTGTTGGATGCACTATGAGCGGCTGCGCTCACAATCGTACCAAAGATCCAAGTGCCGAGAGGCGCAATAATTCTTCATGTCGTGCCAGTGTGCTGTGAGAGAGGCTTGTCTTAAGAATTCTTCATGTACCTCCAGCTGATCCGGCACCAGTAAGGACGCTCGCTCGCTCACTCTACCACAGATTTCGTTGCCGTCGTCGCACGCCGCTCCTCGTCTCCTGGGTGAGCACTCACCGCCATCTCTGCTGCCGTCTCTGCCACCGCCGCCTTCGGTATCTTCGCCGCCCTCTCTGCCACCGCCGCCTTCGGCATCTCCGCCGGCGTCTCTGACACCGCCGCTTGCACGCATTTCCCAAACAAGAGAGTCGCTCTGGCTCATCCTCATTCATCCTCATAGGCGCGTCGAGCTCTGGCTGTTGGCACGAGGTGCCTCCGGACAGAGCTCCATGTCCATGTCCATGTCCATCTCGTGAGCCCGTGTGCAGGGCGTCTCGCTGCCGTCCGTGGGAGAGAAAGGCTGCCCGAGACAGACTGCCGAGCCATACGGCTCACATGCACATCTACCAGAGAGAACCTTCTGCAGAGAGAGAACCTTTCAGGACACTCATTGATTCCACTGTGTCGGCTCACTCTTTGGTGTGCCTCCGAGACATTTCCGAGACATTTCCGACAGACACGTGTCCACTATCCAGTACTCATGCCGTGCGCCGCCGCAGCAGCCTGGCGACGTCTCCCCTCTCGACCAAGTGCTTGTACTCGTTCGCCCCCGACCAGCACGAGACGTGGATGGCGCCGTCGCCGCGAATCTCAGTCACCACAATCTCCCACCATGCTTCGCCCTTCCAAAAGAACTCAATCCTTCTCCCCCCCAGATCAATCTCAGTCACCACAATTCCCCACCCCCAGATCCTTCTCCGCGAGCGGCGCCACCTCAGGCACCGGGCGCAAGCGACGCTTCGCGACGGTGTCGGTTTCCGTGCCGTTGTAGGAGTAGACGACCGTGGCCGACTGCTTGGGTGGAGGGGCGATCTCCCGAATCTTCGCCGGCCACCACGAGCCCTTGTAGCCGCAGTCGCCCTGAACCTCCACAAGCTGGCCCTCCGCCCACTGCGGCTTGGCGCGCTTGCCGCCGCCCGACCCGCCTCCGGCGGCCTTGCGCTTGCCGACGCCACCGCCGCCCTCGGCGGCCTTGGACTGGCGGTGCATCGAGATGTAGTTGGAAGCGACGAGTCCCCACTGCTTGATGGTGTCGAACTTTTTCGACCTGTCGCCCGCAAGCCCTCGCAGGCACAGTCTGCGCTCGTGGTCGTTCGGAAGCTCCTTGAGGCGGTTGCGGATGGACGACATGAAGTCCAAAAAGGGCGAATACTTCACAAGCCGCACGAGCGTCATTGGAACGTCAACGTCGAGCTCCGCGGCGATGTCGAGGATGGCGTGGAGGTCGGTGGTAAAGTCGGAAATGTGGAGGCGTGCAGCTAGGCCGTCGCACATCAAGCCCGGCAGCTGGTCGGCCCCGCCCGCCTTCTCGGCAACCTTGAGCGCCGCGCCGGCGAAGCCGGGCTCGAGGAGGTTGGCGGCGACGCTGTCGCACATCATCTGTGGCAACGTGTGGATCCCGCCCGCCTTCTTGGCGAGATCGAGCGCCGCGACGGCGAAGTCGGGCACGAGGAGGTTGGCGGCGAGGCTGTTGCACATCATCCGTGGCAACGTGTGGAGCCCGCCCGCCTTCTCGGCGAGATCAAGCGCCGCGTCGGCGAAGCCGGGCTTGAGGATATTGGAGGCGAGAGAGTTGCACATGAGCTTTGGCAGCGTCTCGAGCCCGCCCGCCTCCTCGGCGAGCTCGAGCACCGCGTCGAGGAAGCGGGGGTCGAGGAGGTGTGAGGGCAGCGTGTTGCACATCACCTCCGGCAGCATGTGCGACCCGCCGAGCAGGTTGGCGAGGCCGAGGAGCGCGTCCCGGAAGTCGGCATCCAGCAGCTGCTCCTTGAGCGTAGAGCTTCCGTGTCCGTCTTTCGACTTCTCCACCATGAGCGCGTACTGCTCGTTGCTGAGGCCGAGGCTGCTCGCGGACGCCTCCGTCCGCTGCTTCTCCAGCGCCGCCTTCACGTCGCGTTCGCTGGCCAAGCGCTCCACCTTCACTTCGATGTGCAGCTTTGGCGCGCCTCCATCGCCCCTCTCGGCCGCGCGGGTGACCTCGAAGACGAGCAGCCCGGACGTCTCAAGCCGCAGCGGCGACCTCGAGGTGCGGTAGCGGCCGCCCCCTCCCCACGCCGATTTGAACTTGAAGAAATCGAGGTGCGTCGGGTCGACTGCGACGACGGTCCAAGCCTCGGGCGGCGGGCCGGATCGCATCACATGCAGAAAGACCTCCCTTAGCGACTTGCCGGCCCACAGCAGCTTCTGCACGCCGGGCTTGGGCGCCTTGCCCTCGAAGAGCATCGCCTCAATCTCGGGCGACCGCAGCGAGCGAGCCTCGAGCTTGTCCGAAGGGCTGAGTGCCGACCACCGCTTGGGCACGATGTGGAAGAGCAGCGGGCACGCGGTGGAGGCCGCCTCGATGCTCGGGTCGAGAGCTGCGACGGTCTCCGGCGCCAGCGTCGACCTGAGGCCGTCGAGCACCCCGCCCGGCCCGCCAAACCACGCGTCAAAGGAGCCGAAGCCTCGCCGCCACGCGACGCCGACGCAAGGGCGCGAGCGGCGCACCGTCGCCGTCGACGTTGGCTCGACGTCGCTCGGCAGCGTCACTTCCAGGACGATGAGGCCGTCGATCGCCCCCTTTGGCGCGTCAATCAGGACGGGATGGATTGTGACGATACCCTCGAAGCCAAGGTTGGCGTAGATGGCCGAGTAGAAGTTTTCAAACGTCTCGTGCATCATGTGCGCGGGGAAGACGATGGCTACCGTGTACTTTGAGACATTGGCGTTGCGCTCCCGAGACACGACGTGCTTGAGCGCGCGAGAGAGCGAGGTCGACCACCAGCCAAAGGTGGGGTCGTGGTTGAGCGAGCTGCTGCCGAGCGCGCGTGCGGCCGCGTCGACGTGCGACAGTGTGTCCGCTTCGATGTACGTCTCGCCGTTTGGTCTCTTGTTGAAGGCACGGCTCCGCCCCCCGTGCAGCCCCCGCTCGCGCACTCCGTCGAGCGTGAAGGGAGAGACGTGGAAGTAGCAGCCGTCGAGCCCGGTCGCGCCCACGGCGGCCTCGACGGCGTTCGTCATCGCGTCGACCATCCACTGCTCGACCGCCGTGTTCTTGGGCTCTGGCTTGGCAGGGTCTGGCCTCGGTGGCGGCGCCATCCCGAGAACTTGCGGCAGCTTTCGCGCCTTCGCCCCGCCGGCCATCGAGAGCTCCACGAGGCCGATGCCGGGGACGCCGCGGGCATCGAGGTCGTCGATGAGGATCGGGTGCAGCGACGACCCGCCCTCGCCGAGGTTTGCGCAAGCGGTGGTGAGAGCGTTGTCGAACGTGCGGTACAGCGGGTGCGAAGGGAAGATCATGACGATGGTGTACGCCGGCGATTCCCTCGACAGGTCGTGCTTTTTGCCCTCTCGCCGCCGCACCTTGAGCAGAGCATCCTCGAGTGAGCCGGCCACCCAGACTCGCTTGTCCTCGTGGTCCAAGACGCCGCCGAGTCGGCTGCGGTCGACGCCGGCCTTCGACGGGGACAGCGGCTTGAGGAAGGTCTCTCGACCGCAACGCTCGAAGAGCGGGATCGCGTCGCGGGAGAAGGCGGGCAGCATCCAGCCCTTGCGGTCAACGGCCGTCGGCGTAACGTGGTAAAGAGGGAGGCCGTGCTTCATCGCCTCGGGCACCGTCGTCCCCTTCGTCCCCGCCTTGATGGCGTTCACCACGTTGTCTCGGCGCGAGCACGATGAGATGACCTCTGCTGCCTTGGCCGCGGCCCATCGCTCTTGCCGCTCAACACGGCGGCGCCTCGCCGCACGCACGGAGCCGCCGCTCGATGCGGACGCGCCGCTGCTGCTGGATGCGGAGGCGCCGCTGCTGCTGGATGCGGACGCGCCGCTGCTCCCCGAGGCGAGCACGCCGTGCAACGAGCCGAGGACCCAACCCGCCGTTGCCAGCGCCGACGCTCCCGCTGCTGCGCTCGCCTCGCCATCCTCGGCTGCGACGCCACCGAGCACGCCGAGGACCTGCACCAGCAGCGGCATCGCAAGCTTCGGGATGCGGCGGTGCAGAAGCCAGCCCGCAAAGTAGGCGAAGGCGAAGCTGGCAGCGACGTCGAAGGAGGCGGGGACTGCCCAAGCCGGTAGACGCGGGAGGAAAGACGCCGTGCAGTAGGACGACGCGAGCAGCAGAGGCAGGAAGCGGACGGCGATGATGATGCCGACTGTCGTGCCAAGGAGAAGCATCCCCAGCCAGAGGACGAGGCGCGCCAGATAGATGCCGAGGCGCGCCAGCCAGAGGACGAGGCGCGCCAGATCGATGACGAGGGCGTACGTCGGAACCACGATCGCAAGAAGCGGGGGCGCGTAGATGGCGCACACGAAGGCGAGAGGCGTGAGCCACTTGTGCTTCAGAAGACTCCTTATCAGCTGGCGGCCGCCATGTGGGCCTCCGGGCCTGCTGCGGCGGCGCGGCCGGTTGAGGCCGGGCTCGGCCCGGCCCGCGACGGCTGGCCGCCGACGAGCGCGGCGGTGGCGATGGCCTCTTTTCTCTGGAGACTTCGAATTGGGCGAGCGCCGCGACCATGGCCGGAAGGTGTCGCGGTACTCGCGCCGGCTCGCGAGGCCACAGTGGGCGATGCCCAGGTAGGACGAGTCGTCAGCCGCTTTGCCGGAGAAGGCGACGGCGGCAGCGCGGAACAAATCGACGAGGCAGGGGACCAGCGTGCACGTGATGTCGAAGGCGAGTGAGACCAGCGTGCACGCGATGTCGAAGGCGAGTGAGAAGAGGGTGAAGACGAGGGCCCGGAGCATGTCCACGAGGCAGGCGACCAGCGTGTACATGATTGAGAGTAAGGCGAACGCGGCGGCCCGACACAGTTTCACGACGAAGACGATGAGCGTGTAAATGACGGAGAAGATGCTCACCCGCGAGTCCTCGTCGGCGGGCGGCGGAGAGGCGTCGCAAGAGAAGAGGCTGGCGATGGTCTCGTTGACGGGCGTGCCGCCAACGAAGATGTCCATGTCGGAGTTGTCGGGGACGGGAGACGCGAGAACGGCGCCTCCTCGTCCTGGTGCTCGAACGCCATCGGTACTGGTCGACCCAGATCCCGGCGGGAGCGAGTCGTCGTTGGCAGCGTAGATGCCACACGGGATGGTTCTCTCGAGCTTGACCGCCTCGGAGGGCAAGGTGCCGCACGTAGGCCGTTGACACTCGAGTTGACTCTGCTGACGTTGCGCTGCCCTGTCGAAGTGCGCTGTTAAGCAACACCCGTGGTGTGACGGTGCCCCCAGACAGGGTCGCGGGGCGGCAGCAGATGCTGGCGGCCACTGTGCGACCCCGTAAGGTTGTTGCGTTGTCGACACCCCCCGATTGTCCCCCCCGGTCTGCTCAGAAGCGCTTATGACCGGGAGGGTGGCGCCCGGGGTGGACCCCGCATCACACTCTCGGAGTGTGCTGCCCACGACACGCGGGGTCACGACAGGGCAAGTGGGCCCACGAGCCTCGGAGTCCTCGAGCCTGCGGCAAGGCGAGCACGAGCGACACCCACTCCCGACACGCCCGACGCCCTCACACAAGACTGACGACAGGAGCGCACCGTCCGCGGTCTCGGCTCCGTCCGCCGCCACGGCAGGTCCCACGCCCGCCTCCGGTCCGAGGGAGCCGGCATCCGACGCGCAGTACAGGGAGGCGACAGCGGAGTTGGCGGGGAGGCCAACACACGCGGCAGCCAAGCACCAAGTCGGCTGCCCGGGCAGCGGCGGTCGCAGCGCGTGCACGGAGGAGAGCGAGTCCGGCGCGGAGAGCGGCGAGCGCGCGGCCGGCGAGAGAAGGTCGGCCGGCGCGAGCAGCGGGTCGGTCGCGCAGTGCTCGGGGAGGGTGTCGTATGACTCGTTGGACTGGTTGGCGCGAGACGGGCACGACAGCGCGCCGGCTGCCTCAGCGCCATCCGCGGCCTCGGTGCCGTCCGCCGCCTCGCCAGATCCCACGCCCGCAACTGGTCCGAGGGAGCTGGCAGGCGCGGCGCAGTGCAGGGAGGCTCGGTGCTGCCAAGCGGAGGCGACGGCAGGGTTGGAGGTGAAGCCGGTCGCGGTTGAGCGCCACACAGGCTGCCCGGGCAGAGGCGGACGCAGCGCGTTCACGGACGAGTTGGAGACGAGCAGCGCGGGCACGGTATAGATGCACAGTCTTGTCGACCGCCGGCGCTGAATCTCGACAAGACTGCACAGATTCGGCGCTGAATCTCGGGCCAGCGACAGCGCGCTGGCCGCTGCGGCCAGAGCGATGAGCGCGAGGGAGCGGAAGGCGCGAGCGGGGGTGCGCGGCATGGTGGCGCGGAGAAGTGGAGCCATCGCTCGAGCCGCGCGTAGCAGCGCCGACGCTGGCTGAGTGTGCGAGAGCGGAGGCCGTCCCGATCGGCAGATGCAAGGCGCCGCCTTTCGCTTCTCGAATGTTTTACGTCGCTATGAATGACACGCAATCCACGCTCTTGTCCCCCGTCCCTGTGCCAGAACAAAAAACTGTGGAGAATACACGAGGTGCCGACACACACACGCGCTACGATTCTATTGTGCACACGCGATTCTCGTGCCGATTTGAGGGCGGCCCAGGGCCGCGCAGCAGCAGCCTCTGTGCTTTGCTCGCCCCAGCCTCCTCCGCCCCCCGCATTCGCTCCCGACGCGCCGTAGCTTTGCGATCCGGCGCGGACTCGCCATCTCCGCCACAGCCGGAGCGGCCGGCAGGCGCCCGCCTCGGCGTCGATCTCGTGACGATTTGGGCGGCCACCGCGCTGGCTGCGGCTGCCTGCCCTCCATCGCCGCCTCCGCCTCCGCCAAAGCGTTGGACGCTGCTCGGCACGCCGTCGGCGGTGCGCCCACCGGCATCGGACAGCTGCCGGCGGTGCGTCCGCAGGGATACGCCCGCCAGGGCTGCGCACGTGCTCTGGCCGCTAAGAGATCGCATCTGTCTCTCGGCTGTCTTCGGAGGGCATCCTGCCGAACGCGTCCGGGACGGTGCCAATTTTGCCCGCGCGACTGGGTCGTGCCGAAGCTCCCTCCTGCGCACGCTCCCACGCGAGGGAGGGCGTCTGACGCAGCGCGGCGAGTCAGCACAGGCACCGTCGCAATTTTGAGCAGTCACGCAGCTGGTGCCGGGAGCGTCGCCAGTCCGCAATCGAGTATACTGGCGGACCAGGATTGGCGTCGGCCGATCAAACCGTCGCAATTCATCCACCGCGGCGCAGAGATGATCCGAGCGTTTGTCAGACGGTCTGAATAATTCTCAGCCGCCGCGCAAGCCTGCCACCCCGAGTGCTCCAACTGCACCCAAACGAGCTCACGCCCTCTTGCCAGCTGCGTCGGCAGTGCGCACCCTTGCACGCCGAGCGGCGGCGACGGCTCGCGCGCAGCACCCGCACCGCCGCCGCGAGCGAGCGCACCTCCAACGAGTCGCCGAGAAGGCGTGCCCGCGCCGTGCCCCTCATAGCACGTGCCACTCATAGCACGAGCGGGCAGCGGGCTCGACGCCCTCTGTCGGCGAGGGCGGCGGCTCGCACCACCTCACCGCGCGGTGACATAGTGTCTGGGGACGGGCTCCGAGATAGGGTCAGGGGAGGGTCCGGGCAGCAGCCTGGGCGCGGCGAGGATGCACCGTGACGGGAAACGTGCGCGATGACACCACGACGACCGGTGCGTCGCGGAAGAAGCGGCAAAACGGGCCGCGTCTGCGTCTAAGTGACAGCGAGGCGGGGCGGCCCGCGCGCCCTCCACGCCGTTTCTCCGCCCTGCAGCCCGGAGAGGAGCTGCTTGGGCGTCGAGGATCTGCTTGGATTCGGTCCGGGCGCCACGCACAACACTGCATGCACACGTGCTGCTGTAGCCAAACGAGCTCACGCCGCCCTCCTGCGTGGCTGCGGCCGTCGAGCCACGCCTTGCTCTCGCTCCGCACTCACCTGACCGTTGAGCACCCGCAGCTGCGCGTTGGACGGTGCCTCTGCGCCGCACAGCCCAAGCAGCAGGCGCAGCAAGCCGCCCGCGCCCGCCGCCAACTCACCGTGGCCTTGCCTGCCGCCAGCGCCTCGCCGCCGCGCTGACGAGCACCACCGAGGCGAGTGATCGCGCCTCGATCGGGTCGCCGAGCGACGCGCCCGTGCGGAGCGGCCACAAGGCGAGGGCTGTAGCCTGCTCGGCCGCGCAAAACAAAAGTGTTTCTGCACGCCCCACGACACCATCGCAAAATTCTCCTTGCTTCCTCTTTTCCTTGCTTCATATTTTTTTAATTCTGGTTGCCGCGCTCAAAAGCTGTCTGGGGCCGTGTCGTGTCGAGTCGACCTACGCGCCCGCCCGCTCGGCGAGCCTCGACGCGGCGCAGGAAGCCGTGACGGCTGGTGCTGCACACCGCCATCGCAGCGTGTTGAAAAGGCGCTCTTGTCGCCACCGCGGTGGTGGTCGAGCGCGTGATAGATAGACATAGAGAGCATGAACCATCCGAAAGGGTTGCGGGCGCACTCATAGCAAATTCTTTTTGGCAGCTGCCCCGCCATTGTGGGGATGTCTTGCGGGAGTTGGCCTTTGTGCGTGGAGTACGTCTAAAAGTTGCTATGCCTGTGCTTGTTATCGGCTGAGCCCCTGCTTGCCCCCCCCCCCCCCCCGCCCGCCCTTTGTTGACCCCCCCCTGCCCCCCCCCCCCCCCCCTGGCCGCGGCGCCGCTTGAGATAGACCATGTAACCCCTGCCTACTCTCGCAGGTGCGAGCTGAGGGAGGGTGTAGAGGATGTAGAGTGTAGAGCGCTGTAGAGCTGTAGAGATGTAGAGCGCTCTGGAGCGCTGTAGAGCTGTAGAGCTCTACATCCGCCGCGGGACGAAGCGCCTCCGTTGTAGAGCGATGTAGAGCGCGATTTTGCTGTAGAGTTTGTTGTAGAGGCTCTACAGTTCCGGACGGGCATTAAGAACGCACGGGTTCTTAGCCCAGCCTCAGGTTCTTAGCTAAGTCGGTGGTCCATCGGGGGCGAGCCTCAGGTTCTTGGGGGGGGGGGGGGGGGGGCTCAAACCGTTTCGGCTTCGGTTTCGATACTACCACAGTAAGTTCGCATGGCGTGAGCAGAGTGACCTGCATATGTTGGGCAAGTGCGCGCTCGCGCTCGCGCGTGGTTTCGTTGTTTGTGTGAACCTTGTATGTGTGTTGCACGGGATGCCGCGCTCGCGAGTCACATCATCGATGGTTGCATAGAGCGCAGCCGCTCATACAGTGGGTTGCGGGCATTAAGAAAACGTAGTATTAAGAAACCACGCCGAGCGATTTCCGCAAAAATCTAAGAAACCACGGCGCGCAGCAGACGCGGCCCCGAGAAAAGCAAAAGGCCAGAAACGAGTGTGTGATTCACTGTGTGTGAACGGGAGCCCCAGCTCAAAAATTTCTCTTCGCCTCCCTGCGGCGCGCGCACTTGTCACTTTCCAAGTCTGCGGTGTTCTGAGTGGAGTGGATGGAGGCGTGTGTGCGTCTTCCCCCGTCATCCAGAGAGCCGACTCGGCGGCAGACTCTGGCATCGCCCTCGCGGACCGGCAGCTTACAGCTTACCTCTTACTTACCTAAAAATCTTTCGGGCCCGCCGGCTCTGCTGGCTTGAGTGCCGGCCGGAGCTAAGAAACCACGGCGTGGGGTGGATGAGGGCTGTGGAAAGGCTTAGAAACGGCGGCGTGCTGCCGAATCCTGTTTTCTTAATGCCCGCAACCCACTGTAGTGCATCCAACAAAATGTAGGATTAGCGCTCGCAATCGGAGGCATGTTGCTAGGATTGTGAGCCGTGCTGCTCGCAAGCTCGCAACAGACCTAGACTTTGCTCGGATTGCGAGCTGGTACTCGAGTAGTAGTCGTAGGCGTCACCACTCGGTGTGCCAGTCCGCGCCAGTCCGCGCCCTTGTCGTGCCAGTTTTGAGAAAGAATTTTTATTTCTGCAAGCTCAGCTCTTCATTTGCAGTGCGACCAGACCAGCCCGCAGGCTTTACTCCAAAGGCCTCACACTCTGTCTCCAACTCCCCAGGTAGCCATGCTCTCCCTCACCGTCAACAGCGTCTCCTTCAACGGCCCGGCGCTCGCGCCGCGCGTCGCGCCAGCCGCTGCCGCCGGCGTTCGCATGGGCGTCTCCGATATGTGAGGCTGCGCAGAGATGCTCAGAGGCCTGGACATTTCCCGACCATGCTGAGGTGCCTGCGGCGCCCGCGCGCAGGGAGGGCACTGGCCCCGAGACCGGCGGCAAGGTCTTTGACCCGATGGGCCTCTCGAAGATTGCGTCCGCCGAGACCCTCGCCTGGTACCGCGCCGCTGAGCTGAAGCACTCGCGCGTCGCGATGGTGCGCGGGCCGCCCTCGCGCCGCGCTGCGCTCCTGCCGCCGCGCCTGGGACGCACGCCCTCTCGTCCTGCCGCGCCGCTCCCCGACCTCGTTGTTTCGCCTCACCGCGCAGGCTGCCGTCACTGGCTGGGCGTGGGTCTCGTCGGGCGGTCCCCTGTTCCCGGGGTACCTGTCGGTGGAGCAGGGCGTCACCTTCGAGTCGCTCGGCCGCGACGGCTACGCCGCGTGGGCGGCGGTGCCCGAGGCGGGCAAGTTCCAGATCCTCGGCGTGATTGGCATCCTCGAGATCCTGAGCGAGTCGGCGGTCAAGCCGCACTACATGGTGCGGAACGCCCTCCACCGCCCTCGCCGCCTGTCCCTCCCTCGCATCCACCTCCCTTTCCTCCATGGCCGCCGTACCGCCCTCGCCGCCTGTCCCGCCCTCGCCTTTGCCATCTGTGCCGCCTTCGCCCTCGCCGCCCACCGCCATCCGTGCCACCACCCGCGCCGCCGCCGCCGCCCTCGCCGCCGCCGCCCTCGCCGCCGCCGCCGCTTCCGCCGCCGCCGCCGCCGCCGCCGCCACCCTGCGGAGGACTCTGCCGCCGAGAGACGCGCGGTCACACCGCGCGCGCCAGATGTCCGGACCGCGGCCCCTTCGCTCTCTTCCTCGACGCCCCTTCCCGCGCTCCGCCGCACTCGTGCTTTGGCCGCCTCGTTCAGCCCTCGGCTCCTCTCCTCGCCCTTGCAGGCCGGAGGCACGCCCGGCAAGGTGCCGCTGCTGTGGGACCCGCTCGGCTTTACTGCCAAGCTCTCCCCGGAGACGCTCGCGCGCAAGCGCCTGGCCGAGCTGAAGAACGGCCGCCTCGCCATGATCGGCGTCATGTCGCTCGTCTCTGCGCACTTTATCCCCAACTCCGTGCCGCTGCTGCCCGGGAGCGTCTAGAGTCTCCGCCGCCCACCGGGCGTGCCTCCGCAGGACCGGCCGCGGCGGCGACGTCCGACCGGCGCGGGCCACCGGCAGCTGGGCAGCAGTGGCGAGCTAGCACGCGCTGCCGCACGGGCATCTCCGTCATCCCTGTGCATTTTGCCACGCGGAGGCCCACTGACTGTCTCATTCGCCATGGCCCCCTTGTGCTTGTTACCCCCGAAAATAGCAAAAAATGCGCGACACTGTGTGTGCCGCGGCTCTGGCCGAGCGCCCGCTGTGGCGCTGCCGCGTGCCGGGGCCGCGCGCGCCGCTGGGCCCTGCCCCTGGGCGCCCGCCTGCCCGGCGGCATACATGGAAATCTCTGCGCAACATCGGAAGATCCTTGGACTGTAGATCGTAGATGCCTTTTAGAGATCTCTTAAGTGGCAAATCTCCTGCCAAGAGCTGCAGTAGATTGAAGAACTGGTGGAGGCAAATCTTCTCCGGTGTAGATGCTCGAGAGGAGTCTGAGATCTCGAGTTGGTGCGTGCAGTCGCTTGAGATCTTGCGACAGAGGTGGAGATTCTGACTTCGCGCCAAAGGCGCCTAGAGATCGTGTGGGCCGACTGGAGATTGCAAAATGGCGCGAAAAGAGGGTGGAGATCCTTTTGCATTGTGAATGAGTCCATAGCGCATCTCCTTGAAGGTTTGAGCCCCCCTCCTCCCCCGGGCCCCCGAATCGAGATTGGAGATTGGAGATTGGAGATGGAGATCGGAGATCTGACTGATTCCGGCCTAAGATGACGACGTTGGAGATTGGAGATTGAAGATGGAGATCGGAGATCTGACTGGATCCGGCCTAAGATGTAGCGACGCTGGAGATTGGAGAGTACTGGAGAGATGGAGATCGGAGCCCCCCAGGCCCAGCCCCTAGTGGTGTCTCATCGATTTTCTTGTTTTGTTTTTAGACAAAGGTTCTGTGCGCGGACGGCCCGGGGAGCCTCCGGCGCCATTTTTATCTGCGCTCCTCTTTGGCCTGCGGCGCCTGGCTTGAGCTTGGAAGTGTAAACGAGTCCGCCAGGGCGGTCTGCAAACACGGAGCGCGCTGCGCGGCGCGCGCGGTCTACGCCGAACTGGGGGCGGTATCGTGGTTCACGCTGCCAACTCGGCAAATAAGTTCGCC